GTGTGCACCCCTGTGCCTATGTGTGTGAGTGTGCACCCCTGTGCCTATGTGTGTGAGTGTGCACCCCTGTGCCTATGTGTGTGAGGGTGCACCCCTGTGCCTATGTGTGTGAGGGTGCACCCCGTGCCTACGCTGGTGTGAGTGTGCACCCCTGTGCCTATGTGTGTGAGTGTGCACCCCGTGCCTATGTGTGTGAGTGTGCACCCCTGTGCCTATTGTGTGAGTGTGCACCCCTGTGCCTACGCGAGTGTGTGTGCACCCCTGTGCCTATGTGGGTGAGGGTGCGCCCCTGTGCCTTCGCGGGTGTGTGAGTGTGCACCCCTGTGCCTACGCTGGTGTGAGTGTGCGCCCCTGTGCCTACGCTGGTGTGAGTGTGCACCCCTGTGCCTGTGTGTGAGTGTGTGCCCCTGTGCCTACGCTGGTGTGAGTGTGCACCCCTGTGCCTGTGTGTGAGTGTGCGCCCCTGTGCCTATGTGTGTGAGTGTGCGCCCCTGTGCCTGTGTGTGTGAGTGTGCGCCCCTGTGCCTTCGCGGGTGTGTGAGTGTGCACCCCTGTGCCTTCGCGGGTGTGTGAGTGTGCACCCCTGTGCCTACACTGGTGTGAGTGTGCGCCCCTGTGCCTTCGCGTGTGTGTGAGTGTGCACCCCTGTGCCTTCGCGGGTGTGTAAGTGTGTACCCCTGTGCCTGCGCAGTGTGGGGTGTACTCCTGTCTCTGCACGTGTGTCCGTATGTACATGAGGGACCCCCACAGACCTCTTGTATCCCTGGATGTTCTTTGGACAAGGCTGTCACATCTGTCCTGGTAACCCTGAGCTGAGTGGCTGGACAGGGCAGCACAGGCCTGAGGCAGGGCCCGTGCCCTGCTCCCAGCCTACTGACCCCCTCCCCACCTCCAGCTTGTGGCCATCATCTCTGAGGCTTCCAGCTCTGGCGTCTCGCTCCAAGCAGACCGCAGGGTCAGGAACCAACGGCGGCGTGTACACATGACTCTGGAGCTGCCCTGGAGTGCTGACCGTGCCATCCAGCAGTTTGGTGAGCCCGGCCCCCAACAAGGCTGGCCCCTGCCCCAGTGTCCCTTCAGGCTGTTCCTGAGAGCCCTTCTGCCCCTAGGCCGCACCCACCGGTCCAACCAGGTCTCAGCGCCCGAGTATGTGTTCCTCATCTCCGAGCTGGCCGGGGAACGCCGGTTCGCCTCCATTGTGGCCAAGCGGCTGGAGAGCCTGGTGAGCGGGGGCCTAGGGCTGGGGCGCCAGGCAGGCTAGGGAAGTCTCCTCTGGGAGCTGGGGGAGGTCCTCCTGGCCACACACAGATGGCCTCTCCAACCCCGGCAGGGCGCCCTGACCCACGGAGACCGCCGTGCCACTGAGTCCCGGGACCTGAGCAAATACAACTTTGAGAACAAGGTACCTGGGGGAGGCCGAGGCAGGGAGGCCGGACTCCATTCTACTCTTCCCTACTCACCCCCTACCTCCTGCCCCCAGTATGGTGCCCGGGCCCTCAGCCGAGTCCTCAGCACCATCCTGAGCCAGACAGAAAGCAAGGTGCCCCTGCCCCGCGGCTACCCTGGAGGGGATGCGGCCTTCTTCCGGGGTGAGCTGGGGATACACGGGGTCTTTCTGGGAGGACAGCAGAGCAACAGGGTTCAGCAATTTGGGGCACCAGTTCTGCAGGCTAGCTTTGTGTTGAAAGACTCCTCCCACACTCACACAAAGGGCCCCCAGTAGCCCCCACCGGGCTGAGGCTGAGGGCATGGTGTCCGTGCTTGTTCCCGGAACTCCTTGTTTGGCTTCTGTGAGAATACAGCTCCTGGCCCCAGGAGTTCAGCATCAGGGACTGCCCCCCACACCCATCCTACACATGGATGCCAGGCAGTGGCTGGGAGAGAAGCAAGGGCCTGGGAGGGCCTGGGGGGCTGGGGGGGCCTCCTGGGCTCCTCAGGATCAGCATGCAAAGCCCCCTTCCTGCAGACATGAAGCAAGGCCTGCTGTCAGTCGGCATTGGCGGGCGGGAGTCTCGGTCCGGCTGCCTGGACGTGGAGAAGGGTGAGTCCCCAGGGCACCTGGGCACAGGCAGGGGAGCAGGTGGCCCAGCGCAGCCTGAGACCTGGTCCCTCCTGCATCCAGACTGCTCCATCACCAAGTTCCTCAACCGCATCCTGGGGCTGGAGGTCCACAAGCAGAACGCACTGTTCCAGTACTTCTCAGACACCTTTGACCACCTCATCGAGATGGACAAGAAGGAGGGCAGATACGACATGGGCATCCTGGGTGAGCCTCCGCAGTGGGACTCCAGAGCTCTGAGGCGCTGCCTCAGGAGGGTCCCGGGGAGGTGGGCCCACCCACGTGGCTGTGGCTCTGGGGATGCTGAAGCTCAGATGGAAGCGCTTGGTGCTAGCTGGATTCAAGGTCAGGCTGCCCTGGGCTCCTGTCTACCCTACGGCCATCTAGTGGCCCTGTGCCCCCACACTCCCGGCCTTCGAGAAGTTCACCATAAGTGGTTGTAAACCTCCTCTGAGGGCAGGAGGCTGGTATCTGTGCCTTGCTGGCCAGTCTGCTGGCCACCTGGCTAGCACCCTGTGGATGAACACTGACAGCTGGGACTGTGCGGAGAGGACTTGGTTCACAAAGCACACGGGACCCTCAGAGCTGCACAGCACAGGGCACTGAGGCTCACAGGGCCTGCCTGGTCACATGTGGAGGGACTGGCCCCCGGATGGCATCCAGATACTGAGTCATATCTGTCCCATATGGTCACCTGGGGATTGCCTCAGTGGCGTCATCAAGGGCTCCCAAAGCACAGGTCCAACTCGGCCTCCTGGGTTGGACCCATGGCGCCAGGGTCAGAGGCCCAGCCCTGGGGCTCTTAGGCCTTGGCTCTGCTCACCACCCCACCCTGCCTTCTTCCCAGACCTGGCTCCCGGCATTGACGAGATCTACGAGGAAAGCCAGCAGGTGTTCCTGGCCCCCGGGCACCCGCAGGACGGGCAGGTGGTCTTCTATAAGGTAAGCAGGGTGCTGCCAGCTCCTAGCCTTCGCCTCTGGCTCCGCCCCACTAATGCCCTACTTGCTGTGGTAGATCAGCGTGGACCGTGGCCTGAAGTGGGAGGAGGCGTTCGCCAAGTCGCTGGAGCTGACAGGCCCCTATGATGGCTTCTACCTCTCCTACAAGGTGGGCAGCCACCCGCACCATGCACCTGCCTGCTCCTCACACTCTGGAGCAAGACCAGAGTGACTGTGGGTGGCCAGTCAGTCACTGTGGCTGGACAGGACGGCGATCTCCTGCCTGTGGGGCCCACTCCCGATGAGTAGCTAGGAAGTCACGTGCCTGGAGACCCTGGAGGGCAGGGCCTCACCACTCCCCTTCCCAGGTTCGGGGCAACAAGCCTAGCTGCCTCCTGGCAGAACAGAACCGTGGCAAGCAGTTCACCGTGTACAAGCCTAACATCGGCCGGCAGAGCCAGCTGGAGACCCTGGACAGCCTGTGCCGCAAGTTCCGGCGGGTAGGTGGTAGCGGGCAACAAGCTCACTTCCCCAGACTGGAGGCCCCAGGCCAGCCCTTCGTCAGCAGCTCCCTGGCATCTGGGAGAAGCTGCAGAGCCAGCAGGCCCCTCCTCTTGTGCCCTGCCTGGGCTGCAGGCCCTGGCTTATGGCTGTGTCCCCAGGTCACGGCAGAGGAGGCCCGGGAGCACTGGGAGAGCGGCTACGCCTTCTCGCTGACACAATGCAGCCACACTGCATGGTGAGAGTCCAGGCCAGGTGGGAGGGTGCACACTGGACACAGAGCCCTGCCCCACCCCTTGGCAGCCCGTTTTGGGCCAATCCTTCCCAAGGACTGGGCACCCCATCAGCACCTGGGGCTGAGGGACCCTGACAGCTTGCTGACCATGGTCACCCCACAGGAACCAGCACTGCCGGCTAGTGCAGGAGGGCAAGGACTGCACGCAGGGCCTGCGGCTGCGGCACCACTACATGCTGTGCGGGGCCCTGCTCCGCGTGTGGGGCCGCATTGCCGCCGTCATGGCTGACGTCAGCAGCAGCAGCTACTTGCAGATTGTGCGTCTCAAAACCAAGGATAAGAAGAAGCAAGTGGGTGAGTGGGCACATGCGCGGTAGGCCTCGGGGGCCACGAGGCGGGGCGCTGACCCATTTGCCCACCCTACCTACCCCACCTGCAGGCATCAAAATACCTGAGAGCTGCGTGAGCCGCGTGCTGCAGGAGCTACAGCAGATGGACGCAGATGTCAAGCGCAGGAGTGCTTGCGGCCCGGGCCTTGCCAACCCCACACAGAACATGCCGCGAGCGCTGGAGCTGCCCTATGGCCCTGGCGAGGTGCTGGACCTCACCTACAGCCCACCAGCAGAAACCTTCCCACCACCTCTGCATTTCGCCTTCCCTGCGCCACCCCCAGACCCTGGTGCGCTGCTGCTGGGCACCCGGGACTCTGTGACCGACCCCGCCACACTGGCACACCAGGGCTGCGATATCAACTTCAAGGAGGTGCTGGAGGACATGCTGCGCTCCCTGAACGCTGGGCCTGCAGAGCCCTCGGGCCCGCTGGGTGCAGGTGCTGCAGGCCCAGAGCGGCAGAGTGTGATCCAATTCAGCCCGCCTTTTCCCAACTCCTAGACTGCTCCTGAACCATGGCTGTCCAGCTGCTGCACTACAGCAGCTTCCCTGGGAGCCGGCAGGAGCCCCGGCGGACCCTGCGACCACTGGGGGCCCACCAGCACCCTGCAGTGCCTTCCCCACCGACTGGCACCCCCGTAGCGCCAGCACAGGCCCACTCAGGACTACCCGGGTGCAGGGCCCTCAGCCAGGCCCCACAGGACCACCCAGCCCAGGCCCTAAAGCTGCAAAGCTGGTGGTCCCAACTCAGGAAACCCCGGTGCTCAGGCCCCGCCACTGGGGGGCTCCGTGGGGCAGATCCCCATTAATATATATGCAATCCTTTCCCCTCGCTCCCTAAATTATTGCCTGGCCACCTCTCCCTGGCCCCAGATCTGCGGGCAGGTGGCCTCTAGTTTCTAAGTATTTATAATTAATTCTAGTGTATATATGTAAAGAGATCTTTTCTAAATACATGTGCCTTTTGCCTACTTCCCGCAGTCTGCTGCTCCTATGGCTGGGAGTGGGAGGGTACCCCAGGCCAAACCACAGCTGAGGGCACTGACACCTGCTGGGGTGGACACAGGCCACTGCAGGCCATGAAGGGAAACCTACCAGCTCCTGCGCCAGTGCTGGGGAGGCCTCAGGGAAGCCATCTGGATGTCCCTGGGGACCCACCCTGCGCTCTCAGGGCTCAGGACAGGCCTCTCTGGCTTCTGAAGGAGCACACATGCTTTCCCTCAGCAACGCCTGGTCTCTGGCCCAGGGGCTCAGGAGAGGGGAGGACAAACAGCAGGAGCCAGGAGTGGGCTTGGGGGCCCTCATCCCTCCAGCCCCTCCCTGACCCCAGTGGACTCATCCCCTGCTGCTGGCCTTTCCTGAAGTATTCCTAGAAGGCAGGAGAGACCAGGGGACAGCTGGGCTCAGCCACCCTGCCAGCCCCTGGTCAGGCCCACTTTCCTCAAACTGCAGGCAGCCAGCCAGCCTGGACCTCTCCACACAGCAGCTTATGTTGGTCCACAGTTCCTTCCTGGCCACAGTCCATGCCCAGACCTCAGAGAAGACCATTTAGTGACACCCCTAGGAACCCCAGGAAAGATGCAGCCCAGAGGGCAGGCATGGTCACCCTGACTAGTGTCCCTGGGCCCTGACCCTCCCATCTTTGGCTGCATGCAGCCTCCAAGAATTAGGGAGGACAGGGGTTCTTGCAGATCTCAAATGACTGCCTCCTGATGGGTTAACACCTTTGCCAAGAAGAACTGCAGCTTAGGAGAATTAACTCCTCTAGGAATCCTCTCCCAAGACCAGTTCCTGCCTGTGCCCTGGGGCCCAGCTTTGGGGATCAGCACAGTCCGAGCAGCTAACCCAGATCCCACAGCAGCTCTCTGAACCCTGCGGGAGCCCCACCCCCAGGCAGTACAACAGAGATGGATTTCTACATTTTATTCCCACAAGGTAGCCAAGGTGGGGCACGGAGCTAAGCCCACGGAGCCACAGGACCTTCCTCTGGCAGGTGCACGCCAGGTTCTCAGGCCCGCCCCACCAGCAAGGCTGGTTTGCAGGCGGGCCGTCATAGTTGCCAGGTAGAAGGCTCTGGGGGCGTGGGCAGAGGCTCGGCAGGGGCACAGCTTGTGGGGCTAGAGATAGCAGGGCAGGTCCTTCTCGATCACCTGTAGGGAAAGGTGGGTAAGGGGTGGCCCCTCCCAGGCCCCCACCAGGCTGGCTCCCCAGAAGGCACCTACCAGGGGCTCCTCCATGGGACCATACCGCTTCACCACACAGCCGTTCTTGTCTATGAGGAACTGAGAGAAGAGGCCTGTGTCGGTAGGGGCAGGGCCTGGCAAGCTACCAAGCCCCTTGACCCCTCCCACTGCCCTCACCTTGGTGAAGTTCCACTTGATGGCGCTACAACAGAAGCAAAAGAAGGTCAGGGATCAGCAAATGACCAGACTGCAGGCCCCACCCCCAGGTGCCACTCACTTTCCCAGCATGCCCCTCCCCTTGGGCTGGACTTTCATCCACTTCCACAGCGGGTGGGCATCCTCCCCGTTCACGCAGATCTTGCTGTACATGTCGAATTTGACATTATAGCTAGCGGCAAACTCCTTGATCTCCTCGTTGGTCCCTGGCTCCTGCAGTGGTAACAGAGGTGTGGGCTACAGGCACCCCAGGCCCTGACCAGGTCCAAAGTCTTCTGACGGGTTGGGCAGTGACGCACCTGCCTCCCAAACTGGTTGCAGGGAAAAGCCAGGATCCGTAAACCGCACTCAGCATATCGGGCGTGCAGGTCGACTAGCTGAGTATAGTTTACGTCGGTTTTGCCTCACTGGGTGGCCACATTGGTGACGATGCACACAAAGCCCCTAGAGAGGGTGAGCAGTGGTCAGGAGAGGCCAGTGGCTCCTCTCTGGGTGGACCCTGCACCCCCCAGGGCAGGTACCCACTTGTACTTGTCCAGGCAAACCATATGCCCGTCGATATCCTTGGCTGAGAAGTCATGCATGGAGCGACAGCAGCGCCAGTCATCGTGGGACGCACACTGCAAGGCAAGGGGGGCTAAGCAGCATCACGTCTGCGCAGCCAGAACCCACCGGGGTCCTCTCAGGAGGAAGGGATTCCCGACAGGCCAGTGCTGAGGAAACCAGGGCCC